AAAAAAAAAAAAAAAAAAAAAAAAAAAAAAAAAAACCCTAAAACATGAGTATTCAGGACCATGGAAAGAAGAATGTTGCCTGACTTTTTACTGGAAGCACTACACACAAAGCATCAATGGAAAACAGCTTTGAAAAGCAGGAATAAACCAAACCCATCCACCTAGAATTCTATTTCTAGTAAAATTATCCTTCAAAAATTATAATAATATAATGCTATCTTCAGATGAACTACAACTGAGAGAATTCATTGCTAGAAAACTTACTGTTCAGGAGGAAGACAGGTTGTTCTACATGCAAACTCAGATCTTTAACTTTAAGGAATAAAGATCACCTTGAAAGTTAGAAATGAGGGGGGCTGGTGAGATGGCTCAGTGGTCTAAAGCACCTACTTAGAACAATTTTAGCAAAAAAGCACAGGGACCGCGGTTCAATCCCCCAGCACCACATGCCAGCCAGCCCCGCCCCCTGGTGGGCTGAACACACACACACACACACACACACACACACACACACAAATAAATAAAATTTTAAAAAAAAAGTTAGAAATGAGGGTCTGTGAGATAGCTCAGTGGACTAAAGCACCTGCTTAGGCAAGCTTAGGCAAGCACAGGGACTGCAGTTCAATCCCCGGCATCACGTGCCTGCCAGTCCCGCCCCCAGGGCAGACTGAGCTGGCCACAGAGTCCAGGACATAGTGGGACACATCTGTAATCTCAGCGTGGAGGAGGCTGAAAGCAGGAGGATCACTGTGAGTCTGTGCTATGTAGTGAGACTCTGTAACAACCACTAAATACATTTTAAAAAAGAAAAAAAGTTAGACATGTAAATAAATACAAAAGACTATGTTTCCTACTTTGCCATTATTTTAACAAATTAATCATCTGATTTTACATGAAAAGGTAAAATGGCTCAGTCTCTTAGTAAAGAAGGTTGGAAATTATGTAAAAAGTGAAACAAATTTACTGCAGAGTCCAGTCATTCCACTGTACTATGTTACAGGAAAGAACTCTAATGTAAAAGGTGACTTACTATTTGATTGCAAGTTTGTGAAATATCTAGAAAAGGCAAAGCTGTAGACACCAAAGGTATATTAGTGGTGACTCAAAGCTGAGACAGTTGTAAGCGAAGGAAACTGCACAAGGGGTCTTTCTGGACTAAGGAGGATTTTTCTAAAATTGTGTTATATCAGCAGTTGTTCAATATCATAAAGTTACTAGGGATCACTGAGCTGCATATACGCTTATTTTTTACTTTTTTTATTTTTTTTTATTTTTAGGGAAGGGCCTACAGGGCGTTCAAGGTCTCACCACTAGATCGGACTCATAGTGATTCGCCTGTTTACAGCCTCCCAAGAGCTGGGATTACAGGTGTGCACCACCACGCCCAGTCTCCATCACAGTCTCAATCACAGTCTCAATGTGCCCCGGGGGCGGGGCTGGCACAGCAGGCCCAGGGATCGAACCCCCAACCCCTGCACCTGCTTGCAGGTGCTTTAATCCACTGAGTTATTTGGCGGGCCCCTGCATATACGCTTATGATGGCTGGGCTTTGAGATCTGTAAGGTAAACCTCAATAGAGCAGATAAAGTGGACTGTGAAAGCAGAAATACCCTACATACATCTAGTAGAGCTTAGGTCCAAAAGAGATGAGATGTTCGGCAAGAGCAGCATAGACTGAAAAACACTAAAGTGGAAGTAGAGTAGTTTAGAAGTCTTATATCACACAGGAAAGCACATTATAGCTCACGGTAGGAGTTGATCATTAAATGCGTGTATTTTAGTCCTGAAAGATGTCCCTAAAATAGATGTAACAATAATATATATATATCTTAAAGGGAAATAGAAAATATAATATAGAATATTTTAAAAAATGAACCTTGAGGGGCTGGAGAGATGGCTCAGTGGTCTAAAGCACCTACTTGAAACAAGCTTGGCAAAGCACAGGGACCTCGGTTCGATCCTCCAGCACCACATGCCAGCCAGCCCCGCCCCCTGGTGGGCTGAGCTGGCCACACACACACACAATAAATAAATGTAATAAATAAAAATAAATAAATATTTTTTTAAAAAAAAAAGAACCTTGAGCAATTCAAAAGAAAGCAGAGCAAGTTAAACAACTCAAAGAATGGATGATCACAAACAGAAAACAAATAGTAAGATGATAGACCTTAACTCAACTTATCAAAACCTTCAAAAAACATTAAATAGGGGCCGGGGAGATGGCTCAGTGGAATAAGCGCTTCCCTAGCAGGCGCAAGGGTCTGAGTTCAGTCCCCGGTTCTGCCAAAAAAAAAAAAAAAAAAAAAAAATTAAATAAATAGACTTGACCCTGCAATTACAAGTAGAGGCTATCAGAGAGTTTTAAAAAAACAAAAACAAAAAAACAAGATCCACAATGTGTTGTCCACAGGAAATCTACTTTAAGTATAAAGATCGGTAAGTAAAATGATGATAAATCATGCCAACATTAAGCATCCCCTGGGGCTGGGGAGATAGTTCAGTAGAATAAGTGCTTGCCTGGCAAATGCAGGGTCCTGAGTTCAATCCCCAGTATCACACACACACACACACAATTAAGCATCCCCAAAGGTTGGAATTACTAAATGAAGACCTAACAAAGTAAAATATGATACACAAAATATTAGCAGGGCATTTCTTTTTTATTTTATTTATCTATTTTGTGAGTGTGTGTGTGTGTGTGTGTGTGTGTGTGTGGCCAGCTCAGCCCACGAGGGGGCGGGGCTGGCTGGCATGTGGTGCTGGGGGATTGAACCGCGGTCCCTGTGCTTTGCTAAGCTTGTTTTAAGTAGGTGCTTTAGACCACTGAGCCATCTCACCAGCCACAGCAGGGCATTTCTTAATGAGGAAAAGATCAATTTTCATAAAGATATATATGTGTATATCACCAGATAGCAATTTGAAAATAGGTAAAGCAGAAATTGAGGAAACTATAAAGAGAAACAGGGGAAACCCCAGTGCAGTTGTGTACTGAGCGCCGCGCTCTTCCTGCTCACCCCACTGAGAAACAAAATGCCAGGAACACAGGAGATTTCCACACAGTCAGTCATAAGCGAATTCGCATCTGCAAATGCTACACCCAGCAGCTGCAGAACCCCCATTTTTCCCACGTGGAAACGGAACAGTCACCAAGACTGGGGCTTTGGCCAAAAGGTAAGCCCTGAGAAATTCCAAAGGATTGCAGTCATATAAAGTTAAAAACAAATGTATTGTGTAGCCTAGCAATCGTTCTTCTAGGTACCCAAGAGAAATGAGAACGCATTCACAAAGAGAAAGGAGCAAGAATGCTGACGGCAGCTTTCCTCCAATTGCCGGAAGTTGGCATGGCTCACCAGAAGTGAGTGTGGCTCACCGGAAGTGAGTGTGGCTCACCAGAAGTGAGTGTGGCTCACCAGAAGTGAGTGCGGCTCACCGGAAGTGAGTGTGGCTCACCGGAAGTTGGCGTGGCTCACAGGCAGGAAAGCGATAAGCAGGCTGTGCTGAATGAGGAGCACAGCCCAGCACCAGCAAGGGACAAACTACTGAGCCACACAAGGTGCATAAACCTCAAAGACATTAGGCTAAGCAGAAGCTGGCCCCAAGAGACAACGCACTGACTGGGCCACGGAGGTCAATCTCACCAGTTGGCACCATTTATCTATAGCGACAGGTGGAGGAGTAGAGGGGAGAAGGCCAAATGGATAGCAAGACAAAAGGAAGTCTCTGAAGGGCTGATGGTGCCCAGCTTGGCTGGAGGGTGAGAGCCCATGGATGAATATTTGGGTGGTCCCCAGCCTACCATGATTCAATTTAGAATTTTGTATTTTACGATGGTGCAAAAGCAACAGCACTCAGCGGCAACCCTGCTGTGGATATTGGGTTGGGACCTTGTCTTGGGCCGGTAGCTTGTGGTTCAGGACTCACCAGCAATGCCGGGCAGGCAGCAGCAAGAGGCATTGCCAGTCAGCCCCCAGATCCGAGAGGGAAGCCTCTGAGGCTCTGCAAGGTGCTGTGCGGCTGAGCGAGGATGGCCATGGCCTCTGGCCCCTCTGGCCCATATGTCCTCAGCTCCCCAGGTGGTCTCTGACCTCCAGGAGCTGTGGCTAACACCTGCCATGGTAGCAAGGTGTTCCACAGGTGAAGGGTATTAAATGCATCTTCAACTTCTTTTTTTATTTTAATGTATTTGGTACAGGGTCTCGCTATGCAGCTCAGACTCACAGTGATCCTCCTGTTTTCAGCCTCACCAGTGCTGGGATTACAGGCATCCACCACCACCCCTGCTCGCGGTGGCTGGCTTGGCATGCCTGGGGGCAGGGCCAGTGCAACCTGTGGTGCTGGGGATCAAATCCCAGTCTCTGCACTTGCCTAAGCAGGTGCTTAGTCTTCTGAGCTAACTCACCAGCCATCAACTTCAACTTCTGAAGGATTTATTGGAATAAAACTATACCCTGTGCTCACTTCGGCAGCATATATACTAAAATTGGAATGACACAGAGAAGATTAGCGTGGCCTCTGCGCAAAGATGACGTGCAAAGTCATGAAGCGTTCCATTTTTTTTTTTTTTAATTTTTTTTTTTTTATTTATTTATTTGAGAGAGAGAGAGAGAGAGAGAGAGAGAGAGAGAGAGAGAGAGAGAGAGAGTGTGTGGTGTGTGTGTGTGGCCAGCTCAGCCCACCAGGGGGCGAGGCTGGCTGGCATGTGGTGCTGGGGGATTGAACCGCGGTCCCCGATGCCTTGCTAAGCTTGTTCTAAGTAGGTGCTTTAGACCACTGAGCCATCTCTCCAGCCCCATATTTTTTTAAAAAAGCTATACTCTAAGCTGAGAATATATGTATGTATATTATATAAATACATACATTGTACATATATATTTATATACATAATTTGACAAGTCTTATACAAATAAGATTTTTATTTGATTCTTAATTTGCATTCTATATAATAAATGGAACATTTCACTACACATTAGAGGTTACCTTAATTTTTATTTTTTATTTTCTTATTTTTTTGGTGCGGAACCGCGGCTTGAACTCAGGCCTTTGTGCTTGCCAGGAAAGCACTTATTCCACTGAGCCATTTCCCCAGCCCCAACCTTAATTTTTAAAGTGTGGGTGTAAAACATAAAATTATTCAAGCATTAATAGTGCCAGGCACGGCTTATACATATGAACTCACAAAAATGTAGTGAACCTTACGAATGGATAAACCAAGCCCCCAGAAGGCTGTGCAACTTGATCGAGACCCCAGTGCTCAGCCAGGTAGGTTAGTGTCTGGTGCTCACCCTGGAAGCCAGTGCTCAAGTAGCAGTACAGCGGTTGCTTTAGTCATTAATGACCCTAGAGGAGGCATCAGTCCTGTTGCCAAGATGGGACTGAGGCTTAGAGAGGCCACAAGACCTCCAGAAAGTGCTAGAACCAGGGTCTGAACTCAGATCTGGCCTCTTGAGGTTCCAGAATCCAGTGGTTCCTAGCAAATCTTTCGCGATGGATGGATCCATATGCTGCAGTTCTCACAGAGCCAGGTGACCCCATCCTTCATACCTTCTTTGGGTGGCAAGGTGTCATCCCCACCTTGACTCAGGCAGCCATTGATACTGTGGGTTGGGGGTGAGTGATTGCGGCAGACACACACACTTGAGGTTGCGAGGTAAGGATTTCCCTGTTGCTCACTGATGATTCTCTTGTCCAGCAACTCTTTGAGTTCCCAGAATGCACTAGTCAGGGCACTGCAGTGCGTATCATGTCGATGTTCACACCCTGTGGAATGAAGCAGGCAACAGACAAGGGGTTGCTATGCATGGAACTTTCAATGGTATGCTGAAAAATAAGAGGACAGAGCAAGAGACAGAGAGTACAGAGATAGCTTCTCTCAGGAGGAGACAGCTGGCCAGGTGACCTGCAAGAAGGAGGGTGACCTGTGGGGTGTGGCACTGCATGCACCACAGGCGCCCTGGTCGGGGGAGAAGGTGAATAAAGGGGTAGGACAGGAGTGCACAGTATGCCCAATAGGGTGGACATCATGATTCCTGCAGAAATGTCCTGGTCAAGTGCACACAAGATCTCACAGACAGTGAGGGGAAGAGGAAGACACCAGCTCTGACCAGCAAGGACCCAGGCCAGGCTCTCTGCAAGAGGAGATGTGTTTCCCTGGTGGCCCTGAGCACTTCTGGAGGAGATGCAGCCCAGGGTCTCCCTGCTCACCCACACTTGAGTGAACAGAACACAATTCAGTGCTGAGCACAGGCCACCTTGTGAGTCTCTGCCCAGCCCAGAGGGAGAAGGTGCAGCTTCATTCTCCAAGTGAGGAGACTGAAACCAGATTCCATGCTGGGAGCTGGCAGAAGGGAGGCTGTACCAGTACGGAACTCAGGCTCCTGTGTGTGTGTGTGTGTGTGTGTGTGTGTGTGTGTGTGTGTGTGTGTTTAGGGAAGTGTCTACAGGGTGTTCAGGGTCTCACTACTAGATCAGACTCTTAGTGATTTGTCTGTTTACAGCCTCCCAAGAGCTGGGATTATAGGCACGCACCACCACACCCACTCTCAAATGCCCACCCTGGGGGCAGGGCCAGCATGGCAGGCCCAGGGATCGAACCCCCTGGCCCCTGAGCCTGCTTGCAGGTGCTTTAATCTGCTGAGCTATCTGGCTGGCCTTGAACTCAGGTTCTTTCTCTTCTGTGTTACTGAGAAGGCTTCAAGGTTTAGATGGGGGCTGGGGAGATAGATCAGTAGAATTAGCGCTTGCCTGGCAAGCACAGGGTCCTGAGTTCAATCCCGGGTACTACAAAAAAAGGTTTAGATGGGATTACCTCAGCCACTAGGAGAGAAAGGTAAAACATAGGAGGCTTGGGTCTAGATGGCCTCCAAAGCCTCAAGCAGTTGGATGTGGGACTTTTACAGAGGCAGCTGGATCTAGCGTGTGTGATTGATTCACGGTGCAATGCTAGGCTCAAGCGTGCTAGGATTAAGGATGGGTGATCACTGAATCACTAATTGATTTGGCACTTTCCTAATCCCAGTAGCCTGAATACAATATAAGGGACAGAAAGAGAAAGAGGCTTGTCTTCTCCCTTGCTTGTTTTGCTACCTTCTGCCATTGTGAAGTGTTTCTCCCTTGCCAGGAAGCCAGTGATTATGGCTGAAACCTCAACAAACTGTGAGCTAAATAAACCTCTTCTTTCACTTCAGTGTTGAGTATTTTGACTCAGCAATAAGAAAAGTAACTAAGATGGATGGATGGACAGATGGATGGGTGGATGGGTGGCTGGCTGGGCAGATGGGTAAATGACTACAAACAGGTACAAATGACAAGCAGACCATTTTCTGTCACTTATGTGCTTATGTTGTCATCAACCTCATTTCATTTTTCTGAACCCTAGGGCCTCTACTTAGAAAATCTGGGCATCAGACTTCACTAGATTTTTTTTTTCAAACTATTGTACTATGAAATCGTTTCTTCAGCTGCTGCCTCACACGGAAAGCAGAGCATGGTAAAGTGGAGCTACTCCGCGTGGGACAGGGTAAGAGTGGGGAGGATGTGGAAGCACTGGACCTCACCTTCATCCCTGTATCAGAGCCAGAGGCCTCTGTAGAACTCAGGCAGGCCTTGGGCAGAGGCGGTCCAGAACATTCTGGTTTCAGAAATGTGGGAGGAGTGGCAAAGAAGTGGGGGACCCTAAGAAAGCCCAAGTCCCTCCTGGGGTCCCATGTTGGACAAGGCCCACCCTGCCAAGATCAGCAGCATGTCTGCTTCCAGCCAGCTCTGTGGGGGGACAGTGGGGAGCTGGGCCTTCCTTGCAGTGCTGTCCCACTGCTCACTCTGCCTAGATTCCTACAAAGAGGAGCAAGGGGGGCTGGGGAGATAGCTTAGTGGAATAAGCGCAAGGGCCTGAGTTTAATCCCTGGTTCCATAAAAAAAAAAAAAAGAGGAGCAGAAAACTCCAGGTGAGCTCTGCTAGGCCCAGGGCAGGAGCGGGTCAATGTGGGCAGACCCGCCTAGTGGGGGGTGAGCTTCTTTGGGCTTCCTCAGAAGGGGACCAGACCAGCTGGGGTATTTGGATTTCCTGGGGATGGAAGTCTCCACCTGGGTAGGAGACGCCAGGTGATTGGGGTGACCAAAAGACAGCATTCTTGGCAGGGGCCATTCCCAGGAAGTGGGAGGAGCCCATGTAGCCAGGACCCCGTGGAGTTCTAGGGGGCACGTATCATTTCCTTGTTCTCTAATGTTCATAAAAGGCATGGGGCTGGGTGCTTAGGGAGACCTGGGGTTGAGCCCCACATGTTGCTCACAGATTGGGGACCTTGGTCTGCAATCCTGGTTCCTGGGTTCTCTGAGCCTGAGGGCAGAGACACTCGTGCCTGGGAGTTCAGGGAGACCCCATTCACTTAGGATGGAGCCCCAGAGGCCTAGCATGGTCTTGGTACACCTCCCACTCTCGCCCTAGGGTTTGGGCACATGAAATTCCCTCTGTCACACTCCCCACCTCCTCTCAGTTCTCTTCACAGGGTGTGGGGTGCATTCTTTAAGGAAATACTAGACTCTGCTACAAATAAGCTCCTCACATCCCTGGTTTAAGATAACAAAGGTTTATTGATTGTTCTCACAGCAGTACAAAGCAGTTGTCCTGCCTTGCAGGTGGTTCCTGCATACAGCTGGGGTGGGTGGGGAATG